TACATTTTTATCCTTACTAAAATCCTTATCTATCCTTCTAACCATGTTTATAAAAACCTTTTGCAAAAATTAGGAAATCATGGAAGTCATTGCTGAAGAACTTCCCAACCTTCCTCGCTTGAGGGCTGTAGACCTCAATATTACTTTGAGCATGCAGATTCAGGTTTGGGATGGATACTTTGCAATGTTGCATGGACTTATTTACCCAAACCTTGTCAAAGCCTTTTGAAAGTATGCTTCTGTGAGTGATGATGGTAGCTCCATCTGCTCCAGTGTCTATGGTGTTCCTGTCATCATTACTCTGTCATCCATTGCTGAGGGTATTGGCTATGTTAAAATCGGTATTATTGCGGACCAGTTTCATCTTAAGTACACCTTTATTGAAACACTCATTTCCATCCGTGACATCTCTTCTTCCGTTTATGAACCCACTAATCCAACAAAGCTCCTTCCCATTGCTAAAGTTTGGTTTCATCTTCTTCTCACTAACTTTCGACCAAGAGAAGTAAATAAGAACATTATGTCCTATGATGACAGACTCTTTGTTTATTTTATGATGAATCATGTCAGGGTCAACTTGCCCCAAACTATTTTCAACTATATGAAGGACTCAATTACTCTCTCAAGCAGCCAACACAAGTCCTTCATGCCTTTTGGAAGAGTTTTGTCTGAATTTTTTTATAAGGCTGAAATTGTTGCATTAGTTCGCAGGATTGGACCCGACAATGCTCTTCTGGAAGAAAGATGTGAAGTTTATGAATATTAGTTATGGGGTGTTGATGGCTATGTCTGCTTAGTGGGTGCATGCGTGCGTTGTTTTTTTTGTTCTCTCTTATGTAATCCTTGTGTTTCATTTGTACTCTATTGATCATTATGAATGAAATTTTTTTAGTTCGTGCACCTATTCTTTATTTTTTATCTTTAGTTTATCTATCTGTGTTTTTAGAGAAAAGTGTGCTGGAACTCTTTTTGATTTATGACATAGGGGGAGAAGTTACATGATTTTTATTATATCTAGTCTCCGAATCTTGAGCCTAAAACTTATTATTCTAATGTTTTTACTTCTAACTCTGTTTGATGTTTGACTTAGAAACTTTGTGAAAGTTCACTAATTTTATTAGACATGTTATTTGGAAATCAAAAGACATGATCAAGATGCATGAAGTTTACTCTAATGAGCTAGTTCTGATACAACACATTCTTCAGAAGTTGTAAATTGTCTGAAATGAAAGAATCTAGCTCTAATACCTCAAGCTTCTCAGAAGTTATAAAAGTGTCTGAAAGCATGGAAACTAGACTTTGATGCTTCAAAAGTTATGAACCTTCTAGAGGCAACGATTAAGGTTTTGAATCATCTGGTGACATGATGTTTCTGCACCTTCTGGTGGCATGATCAAGATTCTAAAAGAACCAAGATATAATACATGATACGAGACAACAAGTCAGTTACTAATTTGGTTTTGATATGTCGTAGTGCTCTGATAGTCAGCCAGGTTCTGAGATGAAAACCAAGCAATTCTAGTTAAAATATACTTTGTGACTCTTGGACTTAGGGGAAGACTCTGAACAAGCATAATATGAACTTTTGGTGTAATAGATTCAGGGGGAGCTGCTTAAACTTTGAATTTGTGGTTTTTTTTGTTATTGCTCTATATACATTGTTCTTTCAAAATTCATGGGTTTGTCATCATAAAAAAGGAGGAGATTGTAAGAAAAAGATTTCGTTCTACAACTGACCTTAAGTTTTGATGATAACTTCACATGTTATCCTAGAGAACAATTTTATACTCAAATGGCTTATGTCTAGTGCGTAGCTTTTTTCTAAACAGGTTCTGACTCTGAAGGAAAGGTGTCTGACGTTATCAGGCTCTGAACTTAACACTCTGGAAGAAAACATATGATGTTTAAAAGTCCAAGTCAAGATTCTGGAATACTTCTAATGCAACGGTTCTAAAATAACATTAGTACCAGAGCTTATGGTCATGATTTAGTAAGTAAGCTTTGGAGGCTCTCTAAATTTTTGCTTATGAGTACCAAGGGATGAAGACTCTGAAGATATCACTTCTAAGGACTAAGTTTTAAAGACTCTGAAGACAAGGTTTTATTGAACAAGATCTAAAGATTCTGAAGACATCACTTCTAAAGACTAAGTTCTGAAGACTCTGAAGACAGGTTCTATTGAACAAGTTTTGAAGATTTTGAAGACATCACTTTTAGTGACTTAGGTTCTGAAGAACTCAAGTCTTGATCCTTCTATAACATGCTTCATCAACATACATAAGCTCTAGAGAATATAAGATAAAGATCAAAAGTGTTTTGCGTGGGTTGATACTATAAAAGTACAAAGTACATTGTGACCACTGCGCAAGGACAATCCTTTGTTAATATGTTGTGGAAACTCTCCCACAATGACCGTTGGGAACAAAACAACTGAATTTTGTATTTACCATTTTACCCTCTAACAAATCTATTTTCAGCTATAAAAGGAAGACTTGAAAGAATTGGAAAGTTAGCAACCCACTCTACAAAACTTACGTTGAAACGTTGCACTAATCTCTTGTGAGATATATTTTATTTATTTTTGTAAATTAGTAAGGAACTTTTGTTCATATCTTACTATTAAAACTTTTGTTTTGTTGTGCTTAAACTTTGTGCAGATCTGCTTATGTAGAATCATCTTTATACACACACATTTGTAATCAACAGTGGTTGATAGTTCCTTGAGAGACTAAGATTTAGTCAAGAGTATCAAGAATACAACGGGAGTTGTCCATTGTGGTTTGCAACAAGGTTGATTAGACTTGTTGTAGCTTTTGTAATCTTTTAAGATTAGTGGATTAAGTCCTTTTTGAAGGCCAAATCACCTTGACGGGTGGGCTGGAGTAATTTAGTTAACAATGAACCAGGATAAAAATACTTGTGTATATTTATTTTTATTCACTCGTTAGCTTTGGTGTAGAAAATTTAAAAATATTATATTTGGCGAAACTCAATTCAACCTCCATTTCTTGTGTTTCTTATACCTTCAATGAACTCAATAACTTGTTTACCCGGTTCTATCAAACGTTATACTTTGGGAGAAATAGGAGCTATCTGATCCACTATACTTTCAAAAATTGTTACAAAAGATTACAAACGAGTTACAAGAAAAAACCTATTGAGTTGTTACAAAAATTCTATTTCTACCCAAATATTTTCCAATCTCATCAACTCTCAATATATGAATCACACAGGCTCAAATTGTTTAGAAGTGTTTCTCATTAATACCTCGACAAATTTCCCAAATTCCAAGACTCCAAGAAATTTCAACCTTTGTATCTCTAAGTTTATCGATGATTCTTAACCTTTTCATATGCCTTTAGTTGATGAAGTTTTAAAGGTTGTTAAGACAAAAATGCAAGAGATACATATTTATAACAACTCAAATCCAACAAATCGTTAATGGACTTAAAACACAATCCTTTAATTATTGGAATAAAAATATAAAAATAATATTATTATATCTTTTATTATGATTTATAATATTATGAACATCTTATAATATATTTTATATAAAAAAAGTAATATTTTAAATATTTTATAATATCTTTTATATTAATTTATAATATTATAAATATCTTATAATACCTTTTATATAAAAAAATAATATTATAAATATCTTGTAATATCTTTTATATTAATTAGAAATATTATAAATATCTTATAACATCTTTTATACTAATTTAGAGTATTTTAAAGTATCTCTAAATTAATATAAAATATTTTAACATTAATGAATGAATTCACAAACTTAATCGACAAATCTGATATTTGTAAATAGTTCCAACCAAACCTGCCGCCTTTCAGACCCTCCTTTACAGCTCCGACGTCTTCTTTCGACGACATTCTAGATGCTTTTTGACTTAGTTTTTGACAATTTTAAAATATATTTTCTTACTTTTTCATCCGTCAAAGGGTTTAAGACACATTTTTATAGAAAATAACATGAATTCTTTTGATGAATCTCATAGAGAGGTAGATTTCAACATATGTCTCATGGAAACCCACAGAGAAAATGAAATAAATGATTAAACTTTTCAATTTATCTATTTTTAATTTTTTTTCCTTTATAAAGAGTTAAATAATGAATCAAGTAAATTAAGTGGGTTCACATGGTGTTTAGCATAACAATGATTGATGTGACGACAATGCTCGATTGTTTATTCTGAATTGACTTAAGTGTTAGAATATTTTGACTGAGGTCATGAAAATTGAATAATAATTGGATAATAAAAAATTCTAAATGTTGAAATATTTATTGAGCCGACAATGAGCGGATAAAGATGAAAATGTGCAAGTCAAAACAATTAAATTTTTTAAATGCTGAGATATTTATTGACTAGACAAAAAGTTGATACGGATAAAAATGTGTAAAAAAGAATGAAAGTTGTCACAAATATACACTTATACTAAAGTCATACTTATCTAGACCACTTAGTTGAAATATAAATTGCTTTTGAATATTTACAAATTTAACTGCATTACAAATAAGAGGATAATCTCTTAGTTTTAAAAAAAAGTGAGATAAGACTTCTTAAATGTGGGGAAAACTATCATTGGGTCAACTACAAGCCCATCTCTGACATAGCTCACAAAAACCTAACGGTCAATCGGGCCAGAGCGGGAAAACAAAGGTTTGAAATTCATCATCGAAAATTATTTTCCCACGCAAAGTGAAGCGCCTAATATTTCGCTAAAATTGCCAAAGTTCAAAAAACAAAAACGTATCCTCCAAATTTTAATTCAATTTAATGTCTTGACAACGATATTTCATTACATCCTATTCAAATTCCGCAACCTCTCTCTCTTTCTCTTCTCTTTCATCGCACCACTTCCTCTTTCTCAATTTCTCAGGTATCCTTTCTGATCTTCTCGCATGATTCTCAGAATTTTCTTTCTCTACGTTCGACATAGGTTTGGTTCGTTGATTCTCGGTTTTGAAATATGCAGGTGATTTGGCAATGGCAGGAAAAGGAGGGAAAGGACTTGTTGCGGCGAAAACTACCGCCGCTAACAAGGATAAAGACAAGAAGAAACCTACTTCCCGCTCATCTCGTGCCGGAATCCAGGTAATTCCCCCCTTTTGATTCTTTCTAGGGTTTGGTTTTGAAACTTAGAAAAAGATCGCAGGTTTTAGATACCCAGTTAGGGTTTTACCATGAAGTTTTGATCTTTGGTGTTTATGTTATCGTCTATGGGGGAATTTATCTGATCTATGTCCAATATATGATGCATACTTTTGATTTAAGAGGAAAATTAAAGCAATTTTGACAGATGATTTATATATGTATTGTTAAGCTGTAACACTTAGGTTTTTGAAAAAAAGGTTGTAGTGTTGGTGTCTGAGATCGACATTGATATTTGCGATTGTTTAATTTATTCATTATTGGTGGCAGCATGTTAGTTTTGATGTCAACATGTTAATTTTAGTGTCAACATATGTTAGCTTAAGTGTAGTGTTTTGGGTCTCAACATGTTAGTTTCGGTGTCAACATATGTTGTTAGTTTTGGTGTCAACATGTCAGTTTATGTATACTTTTGAGTGTCAACATGTTACTTTAGGTGTATTATTTTTTGTGTCAACATGTCAGTTTTGGTATCAACATGTTACTTTAGGTGTGAACATGTCAGTTTCAATTTCAGTGACAAAATGCCAGTTTAGATGTAGGGTGTTAGGTGTCAACATGTCAGTTTAGGTGTAGTGTTTTGGGTGTCTTTGTTTCATAATTATAGACATTCTATTAAGTTTAATTTTGAGATAATTTTTTTGTTATTTTGAGATTATGTAATTGTATTTTTCTTGCAATTGTCCTTTCATTACTTTTTGTTTAAATGTATAATTTGGAAATTGTTTATGTAGTTTCCTGTGGGTAGGATCCACAGACAGCTGAAACAACGAGTCCAAGCCAATGGACGTGTTGGAGCAACAGCGGCTGTTTACTTAGCATCCATTCTGGAGTATTTGACAGCAGAAGTTCTTGAACTTGCTGGAAATGCAAGCAAAGATCTGAAAGTGAAGAGGATAACACCGCGACATTTGCAGCTTGCAATCAGGGGAGATGAGGAACTTGATACCCTTATTAAAGGGACAATTGCTGGTGGTGGTGTCATTCCTCACATTCACAAGTCATTGATCAACAAAACTGCCAAGGAATGAATGAGATGTTTTCTTATTGTTTCATGTGGCTGTTTTGTTTTTACTTTAACTAGGGTGTGGTTTATTATTATTGTGAATTGAAATGATGCTCACAGTAGGGTAGTTTTAGAATTGAATCAATTAAATGTTACTGTGTAAATGGTGGTGTTCTCATGTGATCGATCCTCTTGAATCGTTTAATTTGTTTGTCATGGAGACTTGTAATCCTCTCACGTTGTCTCTTAACCGTTTATATCTAAATTTACAATTTTTCTCTGCATGTTTTATTTTGGCAAAATGGGTTATTAAGGGCATGTTGAGGATTATTCGGGACTTTAAAGTAGCCTAAGTGCACGTTGGATTGGTGTGGAGTTTGTGAAGAATGCTGTGGTGCGTGGTTGACAAAAATTACCGTTCAATGCTTAAATAAAATCAGTGTTATTTACTAATTCACTGTCTATACATATCCAACAAATAGGTTTTTTAGTATCTCAATTATTTCTACAAATACACCTGTTTTCATCCTGTTACATATCATAATCCAATATCATGCATAAACACTCGCATGCACTGGATTAAAGCATTCAAATATCATTCCTTATATCTCCTCTGCTAGACCTTTCAGTTTGTAGTGATTTTTTTCTCTGGTTTTCTCCATGATGTTGAATAAAGAACTTCTTTTTATATACTTCACAAATTTTCTAGATGTTAATCTTGCACAACTGTGTCTACGTTTCTTCATTATTGGCAAAGTTTATGGGGTTTTTGTTCCACAAAAGAAATAAATTGGGCTTGAGATTAGGTTGTCAAATATCTAGAAATAAAGAATCTAAATATGTTTTTTCACATATACGGTTCAAAAGAAATCATGAAGGAGGTGCAGTTTTACTAGAGATGAAGAAAGAAATTGTAGGTGGATGATTGGAGAAATAAGGTACTAGTACAAGTTAACTGTGATCGATTAAAAAAAAGGCAGACTTTTTGTTTGGAGAGAGGAGTCAAATTCTCTTCCAAATGCTCCCTGATTGAATGATCATTCACAAAATGGGGAAGAGCGAGTTTATTTGGCCTCGAAAGTCGAAACTATAAAACATGCCACTTGTTTATGTCTAAGTTGCGCCAAACTTTTTTTTTTTTGGAATTATTAATCCCACCATAAATTGTGAAAAAACATTTAATAAAAATTTAAATTTGTCTATGATTTCGAAGGTGCATATTCAAATATATTATAAATTTCAATGAAACAGACCCTAATTGAATATTACTCTGCTATTTTTAAAATTTAATCTAGAGATACATCTCCGAAACAATTCAATGTACGTCCCATGTATTCCTCAGTGAAACATCCTTTTTTTTTGACATAAATTATTTCCGAGATGCATCTTTGTATTTACACCTAACATAATCTAGGCATGCATCTTCGGAACCACCCGATAATAATTTTTGACTTTGATTTAGAGATGGTATGATGAAATTGACGATATATCATAACTATACTATCATTTTCATCAATTTTCTATAAATTAAACCATACAACCGATGACATATATAAAATAATAAATCCAGAGTACACAATGAAGTCAAAATAAAATACAACCGACAATAGTGCTCATAATACAAAAACTATAAACTATTGCGTATGACGAACTCGGCCTCCTTGTTCCTACGTTGTTTCCTGTACTGCAGTGCCTCCCGTGCCTCCCCCATTATGACATCTATAACATCCTTGGCCTCAAAGCCATCCGGAAAGAATTATCTATCAATACTCGCCTACCCAATCTCCATGATACAACGACATATTAGGCAACATATTAACAACATGATATGGCATAGTCAGCTCCTCCTCTAGTATCTCTTGATGAGGTGACATAGGTGGATCTCCGAGAGCATCATGTATCATATAAGAGTGTGACACTTTGAAGTACCACTAGTTGTAGCCGTGTGCAACATTCTATCCACTAGGAGGGATGGTACTCCATGCCTTATCTGATACCAGACGATTAAGATAATCATCAAACATGGTATCCATATCCCTACGTGTCATAATGAGAGGAGCAGACACAAAAGAGTCCATGAGAATAAATTGCATGTAGCCGAACTTCCGCATAACGCACTCAAGCAGATGAGGATACGCCGGACGTGAACCGCAAGCCAACCATCAAGAGTATAAGGCTATGTTATCAAAGCGACATGTCTCATGGTGAGTGATGTAAGTATGAAAGCGTATGTCCTCTACTACCAAGCAGTCAAGATATACTCTATATGAATCTGTCGTCTGATTCCCTCTAAGCAAGACGAATGCAGAAGCACGTGGTATATCGTTAGTGTATGTTAGAATATATGACCAACCAAATATGCGTGTGAAGTGCTGGAGGATCCAATCTTGAAAATGATACATATGAATTAATAATAAAAGATGCAGAAATAGACGTAGCAAAAGTGTTAAGAAAATGATACACTTAAAGATGTAGAGTATAAGGCTATATCGTCAACAGTGTGATGCTTTCTATTATATGTTTGGTCTTCCACATATAACCTTTAACTAACTTGGAGTATTGGTAGACCAAACAAGTAAACCATAGTTATACTCATGAATCCCCTCTAAGTAATCAAAGTATATCACATAGACCATATCCACATAAGTGGCACTCTTGTCCATAAAAATTGACGTTCCAACCAAATACAACAAGTATGCTCACAGAGCGTATGCTTTATGATGCACAACTTGTTTGCCATCATCAGTAACATGCTCTGTATCATGCAACTACCGTGTATACAACCTCTCAAGGAATCAAAAGCTAACATGAACCCCTTATGTGGCTTCTAAATGCTTCAAGGCATCGCCTATGTAACCTCCCATATAGTCTGCCATCATCTTTAGTGCTTCATCTCTTTTAATCTTGTTGTGGTCTAACAATCTCCCCTAATCGAAAGATGAAGTAGGCACGGGACATCGTCCAATATGATAGACATCTCACTACGTGTAAGATGAAATGATGACGTCTCTGAGTGTCATCTATCTACAAACGTGAACATTATATTATGTTAACCATAACACAATCGATCCTGCACGAGTCTCTCAGCTCAGGTAGCCGTAACGCTTCTCGACACCACTCTTCATTAGGCTACTGCAGACCATTAATCTTCTGGGCATGGTTGATGAATTTTAAAGGATCACGATGTCGTAGGAAAATAAATCATCATTTCTAATAATATAAAAAAATGATTTTCGAAGAATGAATCCAACTGAATTTCACCTCTTAGTCTCAGATATGTCTGGTAGTATGGTCCGGGTAAAGAGGCAGTAGTGACAAGTATAACGGGTCTCCTCTAAACCCCTCGGGTGCCTCTAGTGCCTGGGGTACCTTTGCTTCTGGAGTATGCAACACTTGTCTTCTATGGAATGACAGAGGCAGAAATGTATGAATGATCGACACTTATCTCCTACAAGAAGATGAAGATGAAGATGTATGGGCCCTAGAAACCGATGCCTCCGTATCAACCAAGCTAGAAATAATAGCTGTCTGTGATGATTGGAGTCTTTCCCTTCAAACTGATGCATGTTGTGCAATCCTGCTGTGCCTTATTCTATTTTACTCATCAACCATAATGCCTATAAGTTAACGACACAAGCATTATACGTATAAAACACAATGAGGTAAATAAAAAAATGCAAACAAATAAATTCCAAATATGAATATTTGGATTCTAGAAATCAAAACGTTGAAAAGTTCCGGAGATGCATCTCCGTAAGGTTTTGCAACTCAGAAACACATTAATGGCGAAAATGTTGTCCATGCCAACATCTAAAATAATGCATTCATTATGTAAAATACCTATCAAACACATTGTTCCCTTAAATAACTTATATAAACTACTTATTACATAACCTAATGCTCAATTTCTACAAATGTATATATAAAAAATAAAAAAAGTTTAGAAAAATAAAAGACTTGCAAAATGCAAGTTTAGTTCGATGTTGAGTGAACTCTTTGATAAAATTGATGTTGGTAGAATAAGCTTTGAAGTTTGTCGAATAATTTTGAGAGAATGTGAGATGAGAGAGTTTGAGAAACTTGAGAGGTTTAGAGTTTGAGAGAGTATTTTCAAAAGTGATTAAGGAGAAGGGTCTGACTCTCTTTTTGATTAAACAACGCCTGAAAACGCATCTCTAAAATTTATACGGAGATGCATTTTTGTCATTTTTTTAAACATAGACTTAGGGTCTGGCTCATGAATTCTCATGAATTTAGGGGTAATTTGAGTTTTTTCTTCAAGAAGGTGTGGTAGAAATCTATAGGGTGCCTTAAGCAATTCCCAACTTGTTTTTCCGCTTCCCAAACTTATCGGATCCCTTACTTTTTGTCTAAGTCCAGAATTTAATTTTGCTACCCCTACACCTGTTGGGTTCGGGAATGGCTTTAAAAATCCAATTCTTTTGGGACGCATGGGACAGCTAGTACCTTTGATTTTTGCTAATATGCACCCTCCTGTCACACATTTTCACCCCCAATGGATAAAATGTTGGATTTTGATTTTGAGACTTAAAATTAGGTTGCCTCTATTTCTAATTATACCTTTTTCCATGGTGGCACATTTTCTTTTTCTTTCTGGGGAGAATGTTCAAAATCTCAAATGGACCCATTCGCCTTTTCTTAAATTTTCATGGGAAACTCCTATAATTTCCTTAGAGTTTAAGAGTTTATATGGTATCTTATCTATTAGAGAATTTAGATGATGACTTTCATGTATATCTGTCAGCAGGTTGTGTTGTCAGTATCTCTAAAGGGGACTGTCAGAGCCTTATTCAGGTGCTAGATAGTATTGCTTCTCCATATTGAGATGATTCCAATTTTTGGCTTTTTCAACTTCATGATCCCTTGGTTGAGATAGGGTGTTAGAGTCGTGCTCAATATATATTCCAAATCAGGTGACATATCTATTTCTAATCCTTTTTAGGAAACTAAGGAAGTTAAGTTTGATATGCAAAATTTACACTGGATTATTGTTAAAGTCTTATA